AGATTGATAATCATGAAGTGGAAGAATTTGACCATCAGATGAACAAATAAATCGTTCTGGTGTTTCTTCTTGTATACGATCGAGATCAACATCAAGACTTCGAAAATAATCTGATCGACGAAAAAGATTTTCTTCTTGTGCTCCATCACCTTTTCTATAACCACCACCTGGACTTGTTGCATTAGCCATATTTAATAAAAGTGGTTTTTTATAATCTTTACAACAATTTCCATATACAGTTACACAATCTTCATTTATTACTTTAACTTTTGTTTCTGTATAAGGAGTTGTTGTTAATTGTACTGTTTGACCATGTTCCAATAGTGAATCATGATTATAAATAATTGTTTTTAATTTTGGATTTAAATGTAAATTAATTTGTTTATTTTTAATAAAATAACTTTTTTTTCTAATAACTCCAATTGTATTTAACATAACTGTCATTTGAAGTAAATGACGAATTTTATCTGATGATAAATTTGAATGATGTCTAGAATTAAAATTAGTTGAATGATTTTGCGGTTTTGAATTTTGAAATTGTTCAAACCATATATCTGGATTCCATTTATAACGAAAAATAGGATGATCAAGATCAACAATAAATTGCATAATATCAGGTTTATAGCGAATCATATCATATTGATACCATGTATCAAGATCAATTTCTTGATCTTCGGGATTATTTAATGTTGTATAAACTTCCATTTTTAATCTTGGTTTATCTTTAATACTAAGAACTCCAACAGTTAAACAATTATCATAAATCTTTTTATTCGATATTTCAAGAACAAGATTTTTATCTCGCCTTTCTATAATTGTTGCTTGTCCATCAAATATTTTCTCATCTAAAATCTCATCAACATCATTGTGAATGTCTGATATTGGATGAATAAGTAAACGACAAGTTAAATTTTCTTTTTTTGACATTGGTTTATCATTAAGATAAAGAAAACTTTTTGTTGACCAACTTCGAGCTTGATCGGTAGCTATAATACATGCATTATTAGTTTGTTTATTTAATTCAATATAAAGCGATAATGATGATATATTTTGTTTTCCTATTGAAGAACATATTGCTTTTTCTAATTGTTCTTTTGTTGTTGATTTTGGTAAATCTTCAAAATAACTACAATCTGCAGCAATATAAACTCGAGCAATTAAATTATTAATTAAAAAATCTCTATTTGACATAGCATTAAGTAAATCATCAAATGAATATGAAATAATGCGATATATATTAGGAAATTGAACACTTATTTGTTCACATGAAATAGATTTTTCACCATGATAAAGATCAATCCATCGATTACGAATTTCATTAGGTTTAGGTAAATCAATATCATTTTTTTCATTTGTTATATCAATAACAATATATGATATAATTTCAATTGTATCATTAAATGATATTAATGATGTATCTCTTGTTGAATCTAATACAATTCGTTGAATATCATTAACTAAACGATTTTTTATATCATTATTACGAACACACATAAAACCAACACCTAATTTTGGATAACATTGAACACTAATTGGTATTATTTGAAAAGTTTTTTCTAGTCGAGTTTCAATTAAACGATGTAATTGAACATCGTCTTCAATATTTAGTGGTAAATCTGATATATAGACAATTGCTTCAGATTCTGAAGAGTTATCCTTATCATCGTTAGATTCAATTGATTGAAAATCTTGTTTTGATGTTTTATTAGATCGTGACAAGTAGACTGTATGATATTCAGAAGAATACTTGTTAGGTTTTTGAGTATCAACATCCATAAAATCTATTGAAGAATTGAATTTATATGTTACTATTTAATTATTCATTTGCATGATAAATAAATTCTTACTTTAATTATTTTATAATGGATACTAAAAAACCAACTATTACTCTACTATCAAGAATCTGATGAAACACTATATTAACATTTGTGTAAGAGAGAGATTAGCACTACAATTGATCTAGTTTAGACAGCAATTTAATCGTTCATATTTCATGTATTGAATAATGTCAAACTATAACTATAGAATATCTTTTGTTAAATTTTATTTATATTTTTTCTACTATAATATTTTGATTTAAGAAAAAAAGCTTTATTTATAAATAGTCACTTATTAGGTAACATAGAATTATATATCAATTTTAATACATTTTGAAATTAAATGCTCACAAATCTAGGTTTAAAATGAATTCAAATATTGTGCTATAGTCACAATTAAACTCATTAAGTATTGAGCTATATAAATATTCTATTGTAATGATTTATAATCGATATGATTTATAATTCTTATTTTGAATGTCATTTCGTAAGTATCAAATAAAGCAATGAAATAAATAATATTTTATAAACACTAAGTCTATTAACAATAAAATACATTTTATAAACGAAAAAGATGTTTTTTTTTCACAAAATACATCATCTCTTCCTTTACTAATTTTCATTTTGTTTAATTTTCTTTTTGGTTCGAATTGGTGTAACTATATGAAGTAACAAAATCATTCATTGAACATTTTCAGTACTTGAAAAAAAAAGAACTTATTCATTAAGACAAAGAGTCATTTCCAAGTGAAATGATCACTGGATAGTACAGTTTTATCTTTTACTATTGTCCATTTCAGAGGCAAGTAGCCCTGGGCATTTTTTGAATAACTTTTGATAGGAATGAGATAGATACCTGCGGTTTTCACCGTTGAAAAGAGCAGATGAAGACGCATCGAACCATATATAGAAAGACTTTTCTAATGGTGTTACATAAAATTTGAAGAAAAAGAGCATGCCTTTCATGGTCACGATGTTAATTTATTGATTTTCAGGAGTGAGCTAAAACCGGCAAGCAAAGAGCTACAAAATTATATGAAGATTCTATTTATAACTACTATCAGTGAGATATCAAAACCATCAGAATTCAATTTACGAGCTCATTATTTTCGAAAAAAGAAAATAATCAAAAAATATAAGTTTTTGCCGTATCGTTAGAAAAGTTTTTCTATATATGGTTCATGGTGAAAACCGAAAATATCGATCTCGTTCCTATCAAAAAATGCCAACGGCCACTCATCTCTAAAAATGGACATTAGGTTGGTACACTCGATTTTTATGCTGATTACGAATCTGAAACCATATTTATGGTTTGGATGAATGTAGAATATTTATTATTCTGATTATAGGTCCAAATAGAAAGAAATATACACTATCCCTTACTGTTTGTGATCTTGACTAACTTTCATTTTGGGACAAAAATTGTCCAGCGTCGCTAAGTGTCAACATTATGAAAAATCTTCATTTCAGAAAATCGTCATTTACGCGTATACTACGTGTATCCTTGAATGTTTTTCACAGAAATTTTAGAAAGATCTGATATTTTGGATTAAGGAACTTCTAATGATGGTCTGTCGTTTTAAATAGTTAAATCACTGTATTAATCTTGTTCTTTAAGAAGTTATATCAATAGTTATAGGTACTCTCACTTTTCGATTCCTTTTGAACTATTTTGATACATTATATGAAGTTACACTACTCATGAAAATTTCATTTTTGAAAGGCGAATTCGAATGAAGTTATAAGATAAAATAATTATTCTGAGGTATGTTACTGAATACTTTTAATGATAGAAAGTATAAAGTAGGACAATAAGTATTTAAGATGATTTTATTTTCATTTCATAGAGAATCTTCAAATTTATTTGTAAGAAAGATTTAATCATTATTAATGCAAATTACGATGAAATACAGATCATAATACAATCATTGAAAGTGAAAATTATTCATTTGTGTTTTTTTAGGACTAAACAATGTCTAAGTTCCGTTTTAATGAACATATATTCTGAGAATGTTTACAATAAAAACAATTGGAAGAAAAAAAGAGGATCGGCCATGAACAAAATACAGATAACAGTTTCTTTCAATGGTTCATGTCGATTCGTATTTAAATGAAGTTTGATTGAGAGAGACTTAAAAACAAACATAATGTTGACACTAATATTACATTTCACTAATGGAAGCTTAATTTATGATAATTTTAAATTTAATAAGATTGATCATCAATGAAACTTTATTATTGTGAATTGTTTTCTTCATCATCTAGCTTCAACATTTTTTAGTTTCCTTTAGAAATTCATATTAATGATTTGTTTACTAAGGAATAAATTCGATTCTAATTGCAGAAAAAAACTTAACAAAATTTACCTGAAGTGTTTGGATCTAATGATTTGTATTCATTTTTTTTTGAATATTTATTTGAAAGGACCGTTTGATTATCATTGGTTATTTTATCTTGTTGTTGTATTTGATTAATCGAAATAGAAGATGCAGCAAATCGTGGTTTTGCACAAAATCCACAACGAGGTATTGATCTTTCATTAGTACCTAAACATTCATCACATTGCCAAGTATTTTCATCTCTTACAATTCTTGTCTGAGATTTTTCAGGTGTAGAACTACGTGTATCCATCGATGGCTAGAAAAATATAAACATTATATATTACTATTGGATAATTTATTTTAATTTTTCATAAGTGTATTAGTCAAAAAATGGAGCAAAACCCATTGTATGTTGAAAAATATTCCTAGAAAATTATATCTTCATTCGAATGTCATTTATATATATTAATCTTCCTAATTTTTATTAGAGAAAAATATTCAAAATCTAATAGCTTGTTAACTCTTAAAAGCCCAAGGGGGATTTTCATGCAAGAGATCGAAGACAATCATAAATGTAGTACTTGTTGGCTGTCAATATACTCACCGTAGAGTCAGAACACACTACTTTGTTCTCCTTCTAGAGTTACACAGAACTCTTTGTTCAAAATATCGGATTTCACAAAAACCTTCAGGAGAAGAATTTTCAGCCGAAACATTGCCCGTAACTACTTTTCTTTTTAGCATAGTACATTTCCTGAACTAAAGCATATTTTTCGCTCAAAATTTTAATACGGTATGTTCAGCAAACTAGCTATTTATGGGTCTGCTTTACAGCCAAAAATCTTTTCTTTTGATCCTTTGTGCTGCATATTCTCCATTAGATCTTCATCTTAGCATTTTGTGCCGACAGAATGCCATAAAGTTTACTGAATGATCTCATCAGATACTGTGACACTGTGTATGACGAAATCTCTTAGAAAGAGGAAAGTTGCAAGGTTGTTTTTAGAATCAATAAATATCTGAGGAACGGTAGCGGATTTTTAAAAATCATGTATACCAAAAATCCTCTGGTACTCTTCAGGAATCAAGTCACAATTATATTCCGATTTCTTTGTGGTCGCTAGGATCGTACAGATACAGAGAAACCTTCGTTTTTGCATATAAGCCCTCTTAGTGGATTTTATTGTAGTTAAACTAATGTCTCTTGAAAGGGACATTGGGCTTTAAAGGGTTAAGTCTCAAAAGGAATTAAAGTAGAGATGAGCACAGGACAGGGTGATGCGGTCGTCCTGTAGGACAGGACCGGATAGAAAATGGTTGCCTTGTGATGATTTTTTAATACTTATAATCGTTGATCACAGTTGATATTCGCTATTATTGGTAGGTGTCATTACTCTCTAAATGAAGAAGTGTAGTCATTTACAGATTGATCGATAAGATGGTCAATTTGGGAGAAAAAAAACCCATGCACATTACAAATGTAAACAATGTATATTTATTGTTCTTTTATTGTAACATCAACATTTTATATTTAATTTTACTATGTTTTGTAAGTTTTTGTTTTTTATTAACAAAAGAATGCATGAACTTTATTGAAATAGGGTGTGGGTAGATGTGTAGATATGGACTAGGAAAGGAGATACCCACATTCAACAGAATCGAATAACCCTCCTCCTATTTTGACTGTTATTGCTCAATAACGACTGAACACTTTTCACTTCGTTAGATATCAATCGATAGAGAAATGTTTGTTCTACGCCGGGAAAAAATTCAGCTCGGTATGTCGTCGAGAAATCGACTTCTTAAAGGTTTTCTGAAGATGATTTTTTTTCCGGCAGAATTAGGTTGCCCCGCTCTACATACTTTACTTAACAAAAAATTAAATATGCCTTAATTTTACCTCTCAGTATGCTGTCCTGTCCTGCTGAGCGGTAGGATGAGAGTCAATACAGAACAGGACAGACCAAGATGAAAAATCTTCTCTTGTACTCATCTCTGAATTAAAATCATCTGTAAATTTTCTCTCCAATATGAGTTAGATAATTAAAATTTGGTAAGAATCATTGGAGGAAATTCTTTATAAAAATGAAACATTATTTACTAATTTGAGATTATTTAATTTATTTATTGAATTAAATTTATGCTTTTAATTTTCAAATTGATAGATATTAATTAACAAGAAAATATTTATAAAAAGAAAATTAGAATTTTTGTTCATAGATATTTATTAAATTAAATTTTGAAATAGATTCTAAATTTTAATATGTCTTAATTAAAAAGAATCTACTAGTTAATTATGATCTCAAATGTTTTTTTGAAGAATATTTTTTTCTTATTTTGAAAACTTTGGTTTCTTTATGGTTAATATCTAATGATTAATTTTTATCAAAAAAATAAATAAAATCTTTCTTAGTCGATCATAAAGAATACTTTTTTTGAACATTCGACTATAAACTTTATTTATATTGACTTAGAACATTTTATAGAATATTTCAAGGATATTTTACTTTTATAACTTATTAAGAATTAAATAAATAGAAAAAATAATCTTACTAATTTTTCCGAGGTTGTTTCATTTAAATCTTGTTTAGTAGATTTTTTAAGGTCTATTGTTATATTTCGAACTAATATATTATCAAAAGCCGATGGTTGATGACAAAAATGACAATCAGTTTTATTTTTTTTATCAAGACGATCTTGAGCACAATGACGATGAAATGTATGATTACAATTTGTAGTTATAATATCATCTTTCCAATTCCATTCTTCTTCACATATTGAACATTCACCTTTTCTTGCTGAATTTTTTAGCGTAAGTGCATTACCAAGAGCTGATTCTTTTCCACAAGTACGACAATCAGTTCGATTTTTTTGCTCAAGACGATTTTGAGCACATTCATAATGAAATGTATGATTACAATCTGTAGTTACTAAATCATCTTGTGCATTCCATTTACCTTCACATATTGAACATTCTCCTTGACTTATAATTTTTAGACGAGCAAGTGCTTCACTAAGTGCTGATTCTTGATGACAAACATGACAATCAGATTTCCTTTTTGTATCAAGACGATCTTGAGCACACAAACGATGAAATGTATGATTACATGTTGTAGTTACTAAATCATCAGTTTGCTTTAATTCTTTTTCACATATTGAACATTCATTCATTTTTAATGAAGACATTTATAAATCTAAAATTGAAATTTTCTTTGAACAGTGAACAATTGAATCAATGAAAGAGGAAAAATATATATGTTGTCCCTTTTCACTTTTTGAAAGAAGAAAAGAGAAGGCATTGAATTGTATATTATGAATTTTCCAAATATGTTAGTCTGAAGTTCATCTAATCGATTTTCTAATTATCAGAGAATAATAGTTTTTATTAAAAAGTAAAACTAAAATAGCTATGACTGTGAAAAATTAATTTCAAACATGTTAACCTTATGCAGTTTTTGTAGACCTTTGACTGACGATTTAAATATACATCTGACAAGTAAATATTTGCTATAGACATCTTGTGAAGTAAATTTATTTTCAAAGAAGTCAGCCGAAAGTCTTAAGAGAGAGTCCACCACAGGATCGAGAAACCCCATACTCCCAAAAAAAAATTTTTTTTTTACGGATTAAAAACTTTTTGTTTTAGGCTGGTTTTGTAGCTTTTTTATTTGCCCATCCGATGTACGATCCAAATTTCTGGGATCAACTAATCTTGAGAGATAATTTCTCAAAAATACTGATTTTTGCTTGATAACTACGTCGTATCAATTTTGACTTAATCAGTGTGTAGTCATCAGTGTGGTCTGCATAACTTTTTTGTTATATAATCAATCGAGCAAATATTTTGGGTAGAGTAGTTTCACCTCATGGGCTATCGATTCCACAAATAAAATGAGGTGGCCAAAATTTTCGGGAGTATGGACCCTTTAAAAATTCCTCGATGATCTCATAGACGCCCTCTTAAAAGCATCGAACCATAAAATTCGGAATCCTATAATTCGATATATCTTCATTTCTCTATCTTATTCCTATAAGAAGTTATTTAAAAAATTACTCATTCGAGTTTTACTTTTCAAATAACAGTAGTATAACCGTTACATTTTACATAAAAACATTTCTTATCGTAATTTTACTATTATGAATTTTAGTTCAATAGTGATTAAATAGTACAGAAGACTAGAGTGTCATTTTCTCTCTTGTCGAGTCCCCCCTCCAAAAAAGTCTAAATTGTCGTAAAAACCCATTTTTTCTAGAAACTTCTCAGAATTTGAGAGACCCGGTTTTTGAAATATCCCAAAATCTTTTTTCTTTTCTCAGACGCGCATTCCAAATTTCTCTGTAATGATTCGTCCAGTGTATTAATATTTTTTTTTGTTTGAAAGAGCGCGTCAAGATGCAGGACACCATGTCGCTGTTTTTTTTAAAGGTTTCCTTGCTTTAGTCAATATGAAGTTAGTGATATAATTTGGTTACCATTTTTTGATAATTTCTTTTGTCATTGAACTTGTGACCTCTCTTTTTCGATTAAAAAGAGCATATTTCAAAAAAAAACACGCTCTTTCAAACAAAAAAAATTAATACATTGAACGAACCATTACAGAGAACTTTGGGATACTAAATTAGTTCTTTTTCGACCTTGTTTGGTGAATATCTCCCTCCAGTGGAATAGTTTTGGGCTAAAAATTTTACCATAGACTCTCCTTAATGCCCTCAACATTTCCTCAAAATTTCCGTTCGTTCCTGGGACGAGATTGATTTTTTAGGGGGGATGGGCTTAAACAAGAAAAGACAATATCTTCAAACTTTCTATACGTAAAATAAGATAATGACGACATTATAATTATATAATCCTAGTTCTATGTTTCAACAATGATAACATTGCTTAATCCATAGGAATAACCTTGTTCTCAATATTGATGTCAATATTCCAAGTTTAGTCGGAGATTGAAGGATATATGTTTATGCAGATTCGATTTCCCTTAATGAAGAGAGAAGAAAATCATTTTTTTCTCTTTGAGAAATTTTCATTTCTGTTGTCAAAAAAACATCTCTACAAAAATTGCTTATTAAGTTTAAAAAAACAATCTAGAACGATACCCATTGATACATTTTCAGTTTCTGTGTGTCTCCTTACAAAGTTTATGAAATCTTTGGATTTATTTTCAATTCTGCATTGCTTCATTAGTTTGGTTGTAAAAGCGATTCTAATTGGGTTTTATGTAGGGATGCAACAAACCCCAGTGCGTGGGATTTAGTATTAGAGATTTGGACTCGAAATAAGATTTGGATTTGGATTTGGTTTGGATTTGGATTTGATACTGGTGTTTGGATTTGGTTTGGATTTG